AATTATTGCATCTAGTGAAGTAATCATTAGAGCAGTGAAATCAGTTCTACCAGAAGCCTCAGTCGTTAAACCTACCGACAGCACACTACTCGGAGCACCTCTGGGCCACAATGCCATTGCTGCAGTCCTTGACGAAAAGTTTAGAGACCTAAGAGGATGGAAGAGAGAATTGGGGACTTGGACTCCCACGATGCCCTCTACCTTCTCACAAAGTGCCTTACCCTGCCCAGGCTAACATACTTCTTAAGGTGTGCACCAACTTTTGGCAACCCACTTCTAAATCAATATGATGAGCTCCTCAGGTCAATATTCAGGAAGGCGCTCAACCTAGATTTAGATGACAGTCAGTGGGACCAAGCAACACTACCAGTGAGATTTGGAGGGATAGGCATACGAAAGGCAACTGAGGTAGCACTTCCAGCATTCTTATCCTCATGTACAGCAGCCAACGAATTGGTAGGGCAGATCCTACCAGAGCGTATGAGAGAGACAGCGGGAACTCGTGATCAAACGTTCATCGAAGCAGCCAGACAATGGGACACCATTGCACACCCTCAACCCCGACCACAAGTCCCAAAAGACCACAAGCAGGCCCACTGGGATAGCCCCATAATGGAAAAGACTGTCACAGCAATGATTGACAACGCTGATGCTGAAAACAAAGCCCGCCTCCTAGCGGTAACAGCACCCCACGCCGGGGATTTTTTATTTGCTGTGCCCAATGCAGCCCTGGGAACTCGCCTCAGTCATGACGCTCTCCGCATTGGAGTTGCCCTTCGCCTTGCCGCCCCCATCCTCACCGAACATAGGTGCATCTGCGGAACTGCGATGGCAGACCAATATGGTCGTCATGGTCTGGTATGTCGTAAATCACAGGGTAAAATTGCAAGACATGAAGAAGTCAACGACATCATCAAGAGGAGCCTCGCCACAGCCCGCTGCCCGGCACAAAGAGAACCACACTTATCCAGACCTAACGACCCTCAGAAGCGCCCTGATGGGGTCACCTTGCTACCTTGGAAGGATGGTAAGCAAGTGGTATGGGACTACACGTGCGCTGCCACACTGGCCAGTACCTACCTCCACTACAGCACACGTGAAAGCGGTGGTGCTGCTTCTTTCAGGGAATCGCAGAAAATTATTAAATACAGAGGTCTAGCACACTGCTACAGCTTTGTTCCGATCGGCTCGGAGACCCTCGGTTCGTGGGGAAAATGTGCATTGAAGTTCCTGAAGGAATTGGGGGACAAATTGATCAGCGCTACAAAAGACCAGAGAGCAAAAAGTTTCTTGTTCCAGCGCCTCAGTGTTGCGATTCAGAGAGGAAATGCCTGTTGCGTCTTGGGCACTAGTCCAACTTCAGAGGAATTCGAAGAAGTGTTTGACTTGCAACAATGATCGAACCCGTCTGTGACATTCATCAATGTTTCCCATTGTTGTGTTCTTCAAGAGATCCATAACCTTTAAGCACCTTTTTGCATTATTATTTTTGTATCAACCCATGTATATCTTGTAACCATCAAATGCATAATAAAGCACAAAAATATTCAAGGAAGGGGGTGGTAGGAGAAAAGCACACAGAAACTGTATTGGAGGGATCTAAACATTCCCTCTAATGCGTTATGCGTGGTTTCCTCCGAGGCTATGGGTCCCCCTTCTTCCAGCTAGAGGTGGTACTCCCTTTCTATATATATATATATATATATATATATATATTCCATTCATTCCTTCTGAAGATGTATTTAATATACGAAAGTACTTAAGGTATATATATATATATATATATATATATATATATATATATATATATATATAATGGTTCAAATAGTCTCAATAGGTGCTATCTAAACAGGAGGATGATTGGGGGAGGTGTCAATGGATGTTTCAAGCGCAGGTTAGACACATATGAATGAGATTGAGGGTTATATAAATAGGAGCTGCCTTGCACTGGTAAGGGTCTGTAGCATCCTTAATTCTTATGTTCTTGTATTCTTATGTACCCGCAGCCAAGAATGAGTAGATTTACGCAGGCTGGAGAATGAGTAGGTTTACATAAAGTGGAAAAAAAGAGAGTAGATTTCCGTAGAGTGGAGAGTTAGTAGAAAAACGCAGAGTAGATTATAGATATTAGTGAAGTTGAAATGGAGTATTTAATCGAGACACAAGGTACTCAGTGTAATCCTCCTGTGTTTTGGCTTGAGAGTCCTGCGTCGGACCAAGAGCCAGTGGTCAGCAGACCATCAGACCAAGAGCCAGCGGTCAGAAGACCATCAGACCAAGAGCCAGCGGTCAGCAGACCATCAGACCAAGAGCCAGCGGTCAGCAGACCATCAGACCAAGAGCCAGCGGTCAGCAGACCATCAGACCAAGAGCCAGCGGTCAGCAGACCATCAGACCAAGAGCCAGCGATCAGCAGACCATCAGACCAAGAGCCAGCGGTCAGAAGACCTCCAGACCAAGAGCCAGCGGTCACAAGACCATCAGACCAAGAGCCAGCGGTCAGCAGACCATTAGACCAAGAGCCAGCGGTGAGCAGACCATCAGACCAAGAGCCAGCGGTCAGCAGACCATCAGACCAAGAGCCAGCGGTCAGAAGACCATCAGACCAAGAGCCAGCGGTCAGCAGACCATCAGACCAAGAGCCAGCGGTCAGCAGACCATCAGACCAAGAGCCAGCGGTCAGCAGACCATCAGACCAAGAGCCAGCGGTCAGAAGACCATCAGACCAAGAGCCAGCGGTGAGCAGACCATCAGACCAAGAACCAGCGGTCAGAAGACCATCAGACCAAGAGCCAGCGGTCAGCAGACCTCCAGACCAAGAGCCAGCGGTCAGCAGACCATCAGACCAAGAGCCAGCGGTCAGCAGACCATCAGACCAAGAGCCAGCGGTCAGCAGACGACACCGACGGTGAAATACGCCATCTGAGGAACGAACTCAGATCTTCCGATATTTTTTGGTCGAGGTTTTTGGCCACGAAGACCCGACGAAGACCCGACGAAGACCAGCAGACGACAGTCCCGCAGATATACTGCAGAACGGACCCTCAGTTCCCCTCTTACTTTAGTTGCTGTAGCATATGAATGCAATTCCTCTAGTACATAGTGTATAGAAAAGTACATAGAAGCTTTATCGACTAGTACATAGTCGATAGAGCTTCGGTCTCGCACATTTGGGGTTCACAGTTCGAGTCTCCTAGAACCCAGGTCAATGGTACATAGTGAATAGATTTTATTGTTGGCGTATAATTCACGTATAAACATACAAATATACACACATACATAAACACACAAATACATTCATAAATCGGATCATGTAATAATCGCAACATGCATACATGCATATATACATACATCTATACAATCTCGCACTCAAACACACACACACATATACATACATCCACACACTGCCAACCTACAGTAAATACAGCACCGAAGAAAATACTTCAAAATACATCACCAACATATTCGATAACGCAGTCCACTGCACCACGGACACCCACACATACATTATTCAAAAGAACGACAGACACGACACTTTAAGGAATAGAATTATGCAGAATTTCGAGCCATATCGGTCGATGTATATTTGATTTTTTTCGCAGAAATTTCCAAAAAATTTGTATAATTTGGTAGCGATTCAACCACTGAATGTTCCCGGTAGAACAGAAAACAAAGTTTTACAATCTGTATTGATCTGATGGTAAGGTAGATACCTGTTGTATTCATATGGTTGGTATCTGATGTATTCGTATTGTTGTGTTTGATGTATTCATATGGTTGTATCTGATGTATTCATATGGTATGTATCTGATGTATTGGTAGGTAGGTAGGTACGTGAAGTATAGATTCAAACAGGGTAATTCCTAGTAGATCATCACCCGGTAATTGCTAGTTAATCTCTAGGACAGCTGCTAGTAGCGAGAATCCATTAAAAGATTAGGACGATAAAGGACCTGGTTGTAAAACTATTAGCGGACCGTGTTCTGGGTTAAAGATGGCGTTAAAAACACTAAACCAGCTTCACTACGTTGCATACGGCCTAAATCCCCCCTCGCATAACAAAGGAAGCAACAACAGCCAAGGTCGCAACAGAAGCACAACAGCGTCAACAGAAGAAGCACAACAGCGTCAACAGAAGAAGCACAACAGCGTCAACAGAAGAAGCACAACAGCGTCAACAGAAGAAGCACAACAGCGTCAACAGAAGAAGCACAACAGCGTCAACAGAAGAAGCACAACAGCGTCAACAGAATTAGCACAACAGCGTCAACAGAAGAAGCACAACAAACCAAAAGTAGTAGCAAAACAAACAAAACAAACTCAAGAGCCGCAGAAACAAACTCAAGAGCCGCAAAAACAAACTCAAGAGCCGCAGAAACAAACTCAAGAGCCGCAGAAACAAACTCAAGAGCCGCAGAAACAAACTCAAGAGCCACAGAAGCCCATAATCAGCAACGATAGCCAAACAACAAATGAGTCACTCAGCAGAAGCAGTAGCTCTCAGAATTCCAGTGGCTCTCAGTATTCCAGTGGCTCTTGGTATTCCAGTGGTTCTCGGTATCCAGTGGCTCTTGGTATTCCAGTGGTTCTCGGTATTCCAGTGGCTCTTGGTACTCCAGTGTCTCTTAGTAATTCCAGTAGCTCTCAGTATTCCAGTGACTCATGGTATCCAAAGACTCTTGGTATTCCAGTGGCTTTTGGTATTCCAGTGGCTCTAGGTATTCCAGAGACTCTTGGTATTCCAGAGGCTCTTAGTATTCCAGAGGCTCTTGGTATTCCAGAAACTCTTGGAATTCCAGAGGGTCATGTATTCCAAAGGCTCTTGGTATTCCAGAGGCTCTTGGTATTCCAGAAACTCTTGGAATTCCAAAGGGTCATGGTATTCCAAAGGCTCTTGGTATTCCAGAGACTCTTGGTATTCCAGAGACTCTTGGTATTCCAGAAGCTCTGTTATTCAAGTAGTTCTTTGTAATCTAGAGACTCTTGGTGTTCAAGCGGCCCTTGTAATTCCAGCTGCATATTAGTATTCAAGCAGCTTTCAGCATTACAGCAACTCTTAGAGTTCCAGCAGCTCTTAGAACCCAGCGGCTCTTAGTATTCCAGCAGCGGGCAAAAACTGCTGGACAATTACAATTTCCATCGCGAGATTCTGACCAGTTCCAATCGTTAAATTTGCGGAGTTTTCGCGTCTCGGTAAAGCTGCCGCCAGTTGCGTGGGTTCTGTGGCCGGAAATAGCCTCGTTATTATTTTAATTTCACTAATTTCGGTAATTTGGATGTTTTGTCGCTGTAGTTTCCTTCTTAAGTCTGGTGATGCCGGGCTTCAAATTATTTTTTTAATATACTTTGCGATTCTTTGTGGGTTTTTTTTTCCTGTTTCTGTTTCGTGGTTAGGTGTTATTATATTGAGGAAGTAATTGAATAATAAATGTTAGTCTCAAGAATGATATTATGATCTGAATGGTTGTGTGTAGCGTCTCGGGAGGGGAGGAAAGGCAGGGTACTGGTAAGGATTCGTTGTTCTTGGAGAGTTGGAAAGGTGGGTGCCAGGGGATGAAGCTTGGGTCTGTAAACGAACCTTCCTCTACTCCCTCGAGATTCATACCAGTTGATTGGATGTTGACAGCTCAACCCTTGCAAACACCGCTTAGATAAGTACGGTGAGTACAACTAGGTGAGTACACACACAGACACACACACACACACACACACAGACACACACACACACACACACACACACACACACACACCACACACCACACACACACACACACACACACACACACACACACACACACACATATATAGAGCTTAGTAGGCTCAGGAATCTGTACACCAGTTGATTGACAGTTGAGAGGCGGGACAAAAGAGTCAGAGCCTCAACCCCCGTAAGCACAACTAGGTGAGTACACATACACACAACACAAAGGAAGGGGCCTGTGACTTGTAATCCTTGGGTCCGGGTTCGATCCCCGGCGATGGTGGAAACAAATGAGCAGAGTTTCTTTAACCCTGATGTCCCTGTTACCTAGCGGTAAATAGGTACCTGGGAGTTAGACAGCTGTTATGGACTGCTTCCTGGGTGTGTGTGTGGAAAAAAAACAATAGTTAGTAGTTAGTAACAGTTGATTGGTTGACAGCTGAGAGGCGGGTCGAAAGAGCAGAGTTCAACCCCCTGCAAGCTCAACTAGGGGGAATACAACTAGGTTGAACACACACACACACACACACACCATGCAAATATACACAACACAATACACTTTGTTCAGTCGCCTTTATCAATTAAAGTTATGACAGTGGAAACACACAGTGCCAGACAAAAGTGAAATGGAGGTTCTTAAATCGGCCACCAGGGACCTGCTTCACTACCCAGCCCTTAAGGGGTAAGGGGAGGGACTGCTGTAGATGTAGGTTGGGGTAGTTGCTGAGGCTAGTAATTAAGGAGGATTAAACTAAAGACCACCAAGCCTGTAGTTGTAGGTTTTATATTGGCAGTATTTTCCGTAATTATTATATATTTTTGGTTGTGGGTTTTCCATGAGTTTTGGAATTTTTCATTTTGGTTGTCAAACGATTGTTTGAGGGTATTTCAACCGCCTCCGTACGTTCATGAAGGAAATTCACCTTAAGAAGTGCTACGAGAACCACCCAAACTCCAGCTATAACAGGCACTCAAACTACATCCACAGCAGCTTCTCAAGTGGTATCTACAGAATACCGCTCGCACTCAAAATTTAGGACCTTCTCCTCATCCACAGAAACCCCCCCCCTTTCACACCCCCCCCCCCCCCATCCCCCTTGAAGGACAATAACCCTAACGAAAGAGACGTCCCCCGCACGAAACGAAGCAATCCACCAATCACCGTCAGGAATTAGGTGGAACAGGCAGTTTAGGGCGAAATTGGGAAAAAAAAATCTTAAGAATTTGTCGTTTAACCGTTGTAGTAAGCTGTTGTTGTTTCAGATTTAGCTACTCAGGACGAAGTGTCCATGTAGCACGGGCTATGGTGAGCCCGTAGAGTAGTAAGCGACAAAGACTAGTTTTGTAGCCAGCACTAAGCCAGGTATCCGACACAGGTCATAAGTCTCTGTGCGCACATATACAACTTCTCGGCGTTCTTCTTCAGTCGCAATAGAAGAAATGCTGTGTAAACCAAGATATTTTGTTTTACTAGTTTAGCTCAACACGCTTCTTGACTCTCGCCCTGGCATATATGACACGCTTCTTGACATTTCTATACAGCATTGTATAATGAGAGAGAGAGAGAGAGAGAGAGAGAGAGAGAGAGAGAGAGAGAGAGAGAGAGAGAGAGAGAGAGAGAGAGAGAGAGAGAGAGAGAGAGAGAGAGAGAGAGAGGAGAGAGAGAGAGAGAGACAGACAGACAGAGAGACAGCAAGGGTCACAGGAGGCCACAAGAGTCAAGAGGATAATTAATTCCAGGTCCTCTGGGGACAGGGGACGCTCTCTTGTTTACAGTCAGCAAGATTATACCAAGACGCAGGTCACAGGAGCTCTGACGGGTAGTTATACCAAGATGCTATACTCCAGGGGAAAGCATTTACCTGAATTGTGCAGACACACTAAATAGCGAGTCAATGACTTGTAGAATCATTCCCAGAATGACATTCTGATGTATTGATGTGCGCGGTCACTCACACCACAACACCAGGAGATGTCGTGTTGAAAACGCATCTATCAACGCATCTACCAACGTATTTACCACCACGCCAAATAAAATTTTGGTTTCCTGTGAGGAGAATTCAGAGGTCGTATGAAGAAATTTTTGCGTCAACTTACGCCATTAATATTCTTAAACTTAACCACGCTGCGTTTTGATCCTGCTGACATGCATTGAAATCCTGTTATTAGTTTTGATCACAGTGGCATGCATTGCTGTCCTTGTATTTTTTCCCAATGACATGCATTAGAGTCCTTGTATTTCTTCCCAATGACATGCATTAGAGTCCTTGTATTTCTTCCCAATGACATGCATTAGAGTCCTTGTATTTCTTCCCAATGACATGCATTAGAGTCCTTGTATTTCTTCCCAATGACATGCATTAGAGTCCTTGTATTTCTTCCCAATGACATGCATTAGAGTCCTTGTATTTCTTCCCAATGACATGCATTAGAGTCCTTGTATTTCTTCCCAATGGCATGCATTAGAGTCCTTGTATTCCTTCCCAATGACATGCATTAGAGTCCTTGTATTTCTTCCCAATGGCATGCATTAGAGTCCTTGTATTCCTTCCCAATGACATGCATTAGAGTCCTTGTATTCCTTCCCAATGGCATGCATTGTGAGACTCGCGGTAAGACCCCCACTGCATTTACTTCCCTTGGGAATCAAGTACAAAACAAACATCACTGAATTATTGCCACTGTATCATACAATAAAACCCTGTAATAGTATGTGTGTACATGCTGGCATTAGTTGCATGACATCGTGGGTTTATTCATCCACACATGCATTATGAGATTGGTATCACTGTCTCTTTTATCACTCTGGTGTTCTCAAACGTGAAGAACATTGAACTAGTGATATTTTCTACACTTGAGGATCATTTCATACATTTTCAGTAAAGTTCCCATCAATGAGAGACTCATACATTCTCTGCACATACCATTGCAAGAATCATATGCTGTGAGTTCGGTTGTAACAAGTTGTAAATTGCTGTTGTGACAACCGAATGCACTAATAACAACAGCAAGTTCTACCCACTGGAAGGATCTTGTTATTCTGTTTTATCGACTGAAAGAATCTTATCGTTAATTCTCATCAAAGTACTACAAGTCTTATTTTGTCTCTTCTGGTTTGTTAACAGTGCTTTATTCGTTATCGTTATTACTTTAAATACTCAACAATCGTCTCCCTGTTTTAGAATAGTAATACGTTATTGATGCTCGCATCGATCTGAGGTTCACTACATAAGAACAAGGTAACTGCAGAAGGCCTATTGGTCCATACGAGGCAGCTCCTATTTATAACCACCCAATCCTACTCATATACATGTCCATCCCACGCTTGAAACAAAACTAGTCACTGACTAGTCATCAATGTGTTCGTATAATCACTATGGGAGTCACAAGTCATCAATGCGGGTCTTCATCATCACTACAAAGAATCACAATGTGTTCACATAACTGTAAAAAACAAAAAAGATGAAAGCAATCCATTAATTTCTCCGCAAACTTTCTGTGCTTTCTCTCATTTTCAATTCTCGAAGTTTTGTTGTGTCCATTCTTGTTTGTGTGTGTTACTCTCATTCATTCTTGTGTGTGATTCTTACTTTCATTCATTCTTGTCTTTGTGTCTTTCATTCATTCTTGTGTGTGATTCTTACTTTCATTCATTCTTGTCTTTGTGTCTTTCATTCATTCTTGTGTGTGATTCTTACTCTCATTCACGTTTGTGATTGTGTACGTGTATTTGCTATTTGTACCTGCAGGATCGAGCTGTTAGCTCTTGGACCCCACCTTTCTAGCCGTCGGTTGTCTAATGTACTGACTCCAAACTTATTTTCCTGTCACAGATATATTTCTCTCTACCACACACACACACACACACACACACACACACACACACCACACACACACACACACACACACACACACACACACACACACACCATCCCAAGGAAGAAGCCCGTGACAGCTGTCAAACTCCTAGTTACATATTTACTGTTGGGTGAACAGGGGTATGAGGTAAAAGAAACTCGGCCCATTGTTTCTGCAATAGGAATCGAACCCTGGCCCTTAGGACTATGACCAACCGAGCGCTGTCCACTCGGCCGCGAGATGTGTGTGTGTGTGTGTTGTGTGGTGTGTGTGTGTGTGTGTGTGTGTGTGTGGACGTATATTCCCCTGTTCATTTTGATCAAAGTGAACCATTATGAATAATTGCTCTTCAATAAATCACACGCAACCACCCATGTAGTTCCGACGTATTAACATCATAAAAGTAACAAAAC